TGCTCTTTTTCCCAGGTGGGAGATGCAATTGTCAGGTTTTGTTCTGGTCCTTTGCTCGGTGTCCCGGCGTGGGACGAGGGCCAGGCTCGGCTCAAAGGGTTTTTCACTTTGAAAGAATAGAAGGAAGGAAGAAAGAAGCAGAAAATGTATTAAAATGAGAGTTTTTATATTAGTTATGTGATCCCTTGGGAGCAACCATAAAATTATGTGGCTTTTTCGTGGCCATTTACTATTCAATATAAAAAGGGCAGTTGCCATAGGAACCGCTGCATCGTATGACATCCGATACCGTGGCGAAACAGGGAGCGCTCTTAAATCAACTCCCCAAATTTCATATGAAAGTAAATACATTTTACTGGTGATTTCGAGACAAGTTTGCATTGCGGCAAGCGATGCGGTGCCGTTACCCCGCTAAGCTGCTGGCCTCTGGGCCTGATCCTGCAAACTGGGAAACGCCTTCGAGCCCTGAAGCCGACATTACTCAGCAGAGTGCAGGATTAGATGCTAAATGAGTATGTTTTCCTAAGTAAAATTAAATAGAAGGAGCAAGTTACACCTTTTTTTTTTTTTTTTTTTTTTGACATTTGTTGGTGATTGGGGAATGCCAAAAAAATAAAGAAGTTGAGCTCTATCCCAGCCTAGCTTCCAGCTGCCAGCTGTGTGATCAGCACAAAGGAGGGAGACGGCGGGGTTAAAAAAAAAATGTTTGTGTAAGATCACATTTGACTTTGGAGTGGGTCTCTCTTGAAATCTGGCCTGCACGTGCGACATCGAGGGGGTAGAAGTGACATCACCCTGAAGGAGATCCGCTTTGGCTCCGCTCTGGCCGGCAGTAACGCGGTGACGCGGGGGTGCGGGCGGGGGGGCATCCCTGCCAGCTCTGGGCTGTGCATCGCTGGGACCGCCTCGGAAGGCGAGGATGGAAAATGTTTCTTCAATATTAGAGGAGCCTTTTGGGTCTTGCCCGTGCAGCCCGAGGAGGGTCCCACAGCCGCGTGTCGCAGCCCCTCGGTGCGGCCACACGGATGCTCCTAAAGACGAAGGTTGCCGTTACCCACGTGGGTATTTTTTGCAGCCATTTTATTTCCTGAAAATGTCTCTTTTCCAGGCAGGGAGCGCACCTGGGTGGCGGTGGTGGGAGAAGGCGTCCCCACGGGACCCGTGTCGGGATGTCGAGCCAATCTCCACCTCCTAGATTGGGGTTTGTCCACCTAATTTGAGGATTCTGCTTGGGCTATCTCTTTGATTTACTTTTTGTTGTTTTGTTTTGTTTGTTTGTTTTTATACAGAAAAAATATTTGTATTTATTGGACTCCTAAATACGCTGCCATTTAATGTAAGCAGCGCTGTTTCTTTCCCAGACAAACAGACAAGATCAGCGAGCTGCAGAGAGGCTTCACCCAGCCAGCGTGCCTCGGTGCTGCCCAGGAAACACTACTCTCAGTTTCCCTCGCTAATTTTCTATTCTTGTCCTTTGTGGTGTTAGAATTCCCCTCTAGCCCATGTACCCGTAACTATTCCCCACGGCGAGACAAGACAAACACTGTTTCTTTTTTTTCCTAGCCAACCTATTGCAAACTACCCAAGTTCTGTACTGAAAACAATTCAAAACCATGTGTGCCAGTGTCTGACACAGACTTCATCTCCCCGTGCCCTTGCAATGAAAGAGGAAATTGCAGGAAAATACCCAGTTACTGCTTCAGCATCATCTCTGAGGCCAGGAGCTCCCCCATCACCTCCCATCCCTCCCAGTGCTGCAGGAACCCCCCCAGCCCAGCACCCACCCGCGGCAGCCCCGCTCTGTCCCGTCAATTAAAATACTTCTCATTTTTGACACAATCCTTTAAGTTCATCTTTCCACTGATGTTCGTCATGGGAGTGGAATTTACATTTGTTTTTGTGTATTTTTAGCCAGCGAGCGGTTTTCCACAGCAGCCTTGAAAACTCTTCAGCCTGGTTTGTCGGCGTTTCGCGTGGCGCAGGCGCGGCGTTGGCGGCTGAGGGCTGGGAGGCTTTTCTGATGGATTTGGAGGTTTTTGCATACATGAGCCTTACGCTGAGCACAAGTCAGGAGGACGCGTGTGCAGACCCAGCCTCTGTGCATTCTTGTTTTCAAGCCTGTCAAACGCTGGTTGGGAGGATGCGGAGTATCCTGAATGTGTCTACTCTAAAAAGTGGTGTCTTGTTCGTTTTGGAAATTAATTGGATGCCTTGAGTTTAAAGAGGTTATAAAAAAAAGAAAAAAATATATTTCATATATAATTATATATAATTATATGCAATCATAATGTATTATTATAGCCAAGTGGATACTACTTGGGAGGGTGGATATAGACTATTCATCCCAAGTGTATCGAAATTTGGGCTCCTAATTTTCCCTTTGGAATTCTCAGTTTAAGATTGTTTTCTTCATCCTGCTGTTGACTTGCTCTGACTCAGGGGACACATCACTTATCCTTGGTAGACAAGTGCGGTTTGGGACAGGCGATGAGGAGACCTCAGCACACCCCAGCTTCTGCTCTGGACAATCATTATTTATCAGCTTGGCTCGGCTCTTAAATATTGAAAATTAAAATGTCCATTCTTATGAAAGTCTCGGCCCTCTGGTGTTATCCATCTTGGCTTTGTTTTACGAGTGGCTGATACATGAAAGCAGAGAAAAGGCTCCAGCCCAAAACCTGAGCCGACCCTCTCAGATCTACACCCTGCACAGCAACAGCCGCAAAGTGGTTAAGAGACTTGATGCAAAGCTGATAAAATGCCAAAAATTCCTCATTCTCTCTCTTGGGGAGCAAGGAGGGTTGTCTGGAAAATGTCAACAATAAAAATTGCATTTAAGTGGTATATAATGCAGCCAGCTACTGTGGGCAGAGCTACGTGCAGCCAGACGAAGGGGTTTAAAGAGCACACTCTCCCTACGCTGCCTCCCGTCCCCGTCCCAGCTGGAGTGAGCGCACGAGCAGCGCCGCCGCTGCGAGCTCTCCACAGCACGGATGGGCACGAACTGGAAACGGTTCCTGAATAAGAACACCCATAACAGAGAAAATGTCTTCTGGTTCTCAGTAATTCTTATTTAAAATTGGCTAAATCCACAATTAGTGTAAACTGGTGATGCTCTGCTGCATTGTCTACATCCATCTGTCCATCCATCCATCTACCCATCCATCCATCCGTCCATCCATCCATCCATCCATCTATCCATCCATCCGTCCATCCATCCATCTGTCCATCTATCCATCCATCCACCCATCCATCCATCTGTCCAGCCATCCGTCTGTCCGTCCATCCACCCATTTATCTACCACCAGTTGAAGACACCACCCATTGCAGTCTTCCCTACTTGGCCCTTTTCCCATGTCTCTGTCGGGGATGGACGTGTCCTTGCAGGTGGCTTTGGGCACCGCAGTGAGGGGAGGGGTGTCAGCCTGGCCGGAGATCCCCTTGCCACTGGGACCGGCTGGGCTTGGGGAAGCCAGGCTCAGTTATCCCACTTTTGGGAGTGGGAAGAAGAGAGTGAAAAGGGTTGTGCCAAGAAAACAAGAAGCAAGCAGTATTTCTTCCTTGCCAAGTAAAAGGAATAAAGGCTTAAAACGATTCCATTTCCTAAAAGAAATTCCATTTCTTAAAACCATTTTGTTCTGCAGCATCTGGGCACATCCCTTCTTTGTGGAAGAACAATGCTGCGGGTCCAGGCTGGGACGGGGGCACGGCTGGGGCTCAGGCTCCCCGTGTCCGTAGCCCTCTCGGCCCCTGATGCTCCGTAGAGGAGCCCTGTGCTGGGCTGTGCGATCCCCGCCGGACCTCAGCACTTCCTTGCCTCCCCGAGCCCCCACCATAAAAAATCCGCTTGGTCGGCTCCTGCCTCTTGCTCACAGAGATTCGAGACGAGGGCAGAAGCCGCGGGGGGGGGCTGCAAGAAGTGCCCCGACCCAGCCCTGCGTGGAGCTGTTCCACAAACAAGAGGAAAAAAAAATAAAAACTCTTTTGTAGTTTTCTTTTACCAGCAGATAAAAGAAAAACAGCTTGCCTTTTATTCTTTTTTTTTTTTTTTTTCCCCCCACCCTTGTGGTTTGTGTGATTTGGGGTTTTTTTGCCTCTGCTAAACTGTGTATTTTTCAGCTCAGTAAAATATTTATTGGAAATCTTTATGGACCAGTCTGCTGGTGAATTATATATATTGTACAACTTCAGCATGAGCTGGGAAAAAAATTTATGACTTTTTTTCCACCCAGCCTGACTCTATCCAATAGCAATAAGAAAATGAGGATTTACCACGAAAGCTTTAAGTTCAGTTCTGCGTGCCAGCGCAGCAGATACCTTTTCTGTGTTAGTTCATATGTTCACAATGTAATTCTCTCCTCTAATTTGAAAGCAAAGCTGAAGCTGAGCGCTAAGGGGCTTTTGCGTCCTGCTAGTAAAGGCTGTCCAATAGCAACATCTTGTCTTTTTTTTTTTTTTTAAAGGATTTCTCACTTTTAGCATCAATTGTTTTTTCAGATCATTCTTAACTCAATGCATAAATACCAACCGCGGCTGCATATCGTGAAGGCGGATGAGAACAACGCTTTCGGGTCGAAGAACACAGCCTTCTGCACCCACGTTTTTCCGGAGACGTCCTTTATATCGGTGACTTCCTACCAGAACCACAAGGTGGGTGCTTTCCTGGCTCAAGGTGCTTCATTTCTGTCGGTGGATTTTTGCAACCCGCAGCCCTCTGCTGCCGTCGGCTGTGAAATGATTTTCCAAACTGCAGCGGCACGGCGATGCTGGGCTTTGCGGAGCGGGATCTGTTTGCTCGGTGGGAGGGGAGCCTATTGTGCTGCTCGCTTTAAAGGACAAGTTTCCGTCCCAGTGTTGAGTGACGAGCCAGAGGATGCGGGTGAGGAGCAGCGTGAGCATCGCTGGGTAATGCCGCCCTGGCAAACCCCGCGAGGCTGGATGCTGACGAAGTGGCGTGCTCATAAACGCTACGATGTCGTTCCAAACAGCAAGCAAAGCTAATAACGACTGGTAAAGTTGGCTCAGAAATCCGCAGTGAAAAGTCATTACAGGATGTGTATTTAGGGAGATGCAGGAGGAATGGAACCGTAAAACCCAGCTCAGAGCCTGCCCTGTGGTTAGCACGTGGGGGTGGGAGGGGGTTTGGGTTTGTTTTGGGGGGATGTAAAGCACAAAGGGCTGGTTCTGCGCTCGGGGGTGTGTTGCGGGTGCCCCTGTATCGCAGGGTTTGGCTTTTGTCAGAGGGTTGGTAGTGGTGGCAGTGGGCAGCGATCCCGACTGAGGATTTCACTGAGCCAGGTTGCCAGCAGGATGGACGGCACTGTGACAGTTAATTGTCAACTCCGGTGACAGTGGGTGTGCAGGCACCAGGGCAGGGAGCACGGCAAAGCACCGTTTTCCATCCTGCTACTGATTTCCCTGCGTTTGCACAAGCTCCCTCTCCCCTGCAGTGTTCCTAACGGCGCAGTCCAACGGCAGGGTTGGATGAGGATTAATTGGGGTTTTTAAAGTACATTTGGATTCATGAGTAAGGGTGCAGGGTGAAGCAGCACCGCCAGAGCCCTCCTGTAGCAGCTGCCCCTCGGTACGGATCCGTGAGGGGGGTGGAGGTGTTCCCCCCAAACTCCCTCCTGGGCTGGATAAAGCCAGGGGCAGGTGACAAGGAGGGACTGAAGCCCTGGTTCTGCTCATGTCAGAGGAAAACCACAGTCCCTACATAATAAAATTAAATTAAGATGTACAAAGCTGATGTCGGGCTGTGGCTTAGGAAGGGCCCGAAGCAGCCGACTGGGAGCTGCCCTGGAGCCGCTGCGGGCTGCGGGAGCAGAGAGGAAACGCTGGAGCCCTCCAGGCTGGTTAAATTCACATGTCACCACCTGCCGTCTCCATCACTGACACCGGCCAGCTGTTTTCTCAGGAGTTTTTTGGTCAGGGCTATCCTCCAACGTTGCTAAAAGGGTAGTTGTTATAGCAAAACCCTCACAAAACCACCCGAACACAGAACTCGCTTGTGATCCTCACCACCAAAACGGGACCCAGGCTGGTGCAAGCCCAGGGCAGTGGGAGATCCATGTCCCCACCTCCCCACCAGCATCCTGCCATGTCGTCACCTCCCCTCCTCCTGGAAAAGGTCTTTTCAGTGATAACAGGGTGCCCAAGGAGCTAATCCAACCCACTGGTGTCCCTTAGGAGGGAAGGACGTTAGTAAGACCCAGTTGTGCCCACGATCCGTGTTAGACCTGTCCGTAACCTCGCTGTCAAAGAGCCTGGGGTGTACGTTAGTGCACAGACACGCGTACAGCTCTTTGCCGGGGGGACAAGGGGTGTTTTTAGGAGCTCCTGTCTCCCTGCTCCTGTGTCCCTCCCTATCAATGCCCCGGTGCTGTTCTGGCATTTTGCATCTCATGAAGCCCTCTCAGGTGATCTTGTTCACAACCTGTTTGTCTTTACAAAATCCTTTGTTAAATAAGTGGTCTTTCTTCATTTTTCCCTGGACAACCAC